CATTATCCAAATGTGATCATTTCTCATTTTGAGTAGGTTTAACTGGATGGGAGAAATTACGGGATAGGTGAAGTGACTAAAGATGTTACGGGTTTGAAGTACTGGTCAATTACATCAATAATTGTGACTGGGTACAACCTAAAACCAGAAAATAAAACTCTGTAAACTGGTATTTTATTATCCCCGCCTAAAAACTTCCGTCTGCTTGGGTCGACGCGTTTATGGGAAAGCTTAGAAGAAAAGAGTTGTCTAGAAACACTTTCGTCTAAGTTTGCTGGCCGATGACCTCTCGCATAAATAACAACGTTTCTGCTGTGTTGCTATTCGATATTGTGGAATAACTAGTCTAACTTTTCTTGGTCAATTAGATCTCCCCGCTTATGGATGACCTTTTTCAGGTGTCATAGGGTTCAGAGCACCACTAGTAAGCATACTAATTGTAGCGTACCTGTAGAAGGAGCGTGACAATGCCTTCACCACTGTGAGGAACTGCACAAGTTGGTCAACCACTCTGTACTTCAGGTTCTAGATAGTATAATAAGGTTTCTATATTGTTGGGTCAGAATGGTATGTGCTGCAAGGTGGGAGTCTTAAGTTTTTAAAAGTTTAGGTATTTATTACGGTATAGTGAGAATAAAGTTTATAAATATCTGAAAACGTTCTGAGAAAATGAAAATAATATCACACTATGTAAAGGTATGTATATTATTTTACAAGGAGTAGACCAACAGTTTATTGCTTGGTATACTAAATCAAATCGGGCTCATCACTAAAGATGTGATTGATATTTAGTGCTAAACAACGCCGTTAGCCGTAACCTAACTAAACCAAAAGTCAGGGATAAGCAAGTTTGAATACATATATTCGTAAAGTAGCCGAAGTATTCCAAAGATGTGTGAACTAAGCTGATTAGCTGTCCGGAGGTATGTGTTGCATAGCGTACACAGTCGTGATCTGTTACGGATAACTGACCAAACGCATTCAACTAAGTTGTATCCAGTAAAAATAACGAGGTCAGTTTCAATGTCGAAGGCTGAGAGAACTATTTATTGTGGGAATTTATTTATCGCTACAGGCTCCTGAGAGAAATCTGTCTAGCTTTAGCTAATCAAAAACATGTCATGAGTCATTTCCGATCTGAAATTAAATAAATTACAAAGCATTAGTCCTTTTTTAAATTTCGCAAATGAACTTTCGTAAGTTACATCTTGATTTCCTGGGAGATCCAAAATTTTCCTCAAACATTGATGTCTGTTCTCGTTGTGATCATTGAAATTTCAGAAGGAATCAATCGTCAATAGTCAGAGACTCACATTCGTGATTACTCTTACATACTTTTGGGACGATTAAAGCGATCACTTAGGTTCTTCTCATACAGTGCATTACAAGGATCATTATTCGTGAAACTGAGTTTTACTTTGTCTCGAAAATCTTTTTACTATCTTCAGAGACAATCACTGTTAAATGAGTCTATAAATTGTCAATATCTGTCTAAAGAATTCGTAAACATTTTCTGAATGCCATATATCAGTTCCTAAAACGTCGGAATATATCCGGTAAGAATGAGTAATGATCAATATTGAGCACAGACGGAGATCTATATGTTATATATATATATATATACTTCTTTAAACGTTTGTATTTATCATAGTATATTGTGATTATATTGTATATTGGGTTCTTGATCGGTTATCGTATATTTGTATGACAGCTCATCATTTGATTAAGTGTCGTGATTCATCATGATCCATTGATCTAGTACGCAGTTCAGTGTTTGGTCTTCTCGATCTAATTATCTAGCGTATTTTGTCTAGCGTAGGATCGTATCAGGTGTTAAAATCACCAACCAGAAACCTGTTTATCTTTCTGAATGGTAAAATTCGCGGTAAAATGCTATATCAATGTAATCCACATATGATAAAAATGACTAATCAAATTTCAGTCTTGAGCAACAATCAGGTAATTTAAAACCTTACTAATAATGAGTTATAAAGATTACCCCAAGGATAAGATGTAAATCCCACTGGTAAAATATCTTAATATACCCAAAGAACAATATCTGATTTTACTACACAAAAGGAAATTTACTTGTTTGACTGAATGCTAAATCTGTCACATAGATGTATTCATATAGTTCGAAGTTAATCTGATATTAGGTAGACACACTAGAAACTAATCATTTACTAAAAGTGCATCTCAACATATTTTATTCTATATGAATATAACATGTTACTAATAAGTGAAGTAGAAAACAAGACAGTCTACTTTGAGCACTGAAAAATAATTCATTTTTGAAATAGTCATGACAACAAAATGAAAGTCGATTAGAAGTCCCAAAAACTAAGAGACTATTGAAGAGGTATTTTGTTTTGTTCAAAGGCCCCCACAAAGTAAGTGTCCAAAGCACCGCATACATTATAGAACACAGTATTTTCATTTCTTGCAGCGAGTACTTTATCTTTAGAACGAAAAATCTGCACACAATAACTGATATCTTCAACTTCAGTAATTTAGTTATATAGAGTAAATATTATCCAATGACCATGATCCATGCCTATCTCACTCTTGACATGATTGATTCCTAGCTTACAACTCAATAATCTGGAGGTTGCGTGATCAACATAAGAGATAAGAGTTCTATGTTCATCCCCATATGGTGTCATAGATATGTACGGTCAAGTAGGCCTAAATTATAGCTAAACAGCTGTTCTGTTCTCCTGATAACTCTAATAGTCTGCAGCTATTCTCACATATTTATTATTTGTCTAATTTAAAGTCACTTTAATTCGAATAATGAAATCAAATTATCGGTACTTAACTGAAAATAGGACATCAGTATCCGAATATAATAACCAGACAACCTTGACTTATTACAAGATAATAGTAAATGGTATTTTTCATTAAGATATATGAACTAAATAAACATTTTGTTTCCCTATTATATACATTCTGTGGTGTATCCAAAATATCATTTACTTTTGCATACATATCACAATATATCTACGTTTCTTTTTTATAAGGAAAGGTTTTTGTATATAATTTCTATGTGAATATGATTCATTCATTTATATTTCCACTTAATAGAATCATTGAAGAATTTATCTAATTGTCTTTTAGTAATTAAGGTTTTGACTATTACAGTGAACATAAGATAAACTCGTTTGGTTCTTATAATAATGAGACAAAATTTATTTATATTATACTAACTGTAATGAAATGAAAAGAGACGACCAACAAAGAAGTTGAATTAATTACACTTAAATTCGAATCATAGGGAGATTATGATTTATGAATGAACCAATCAGAAATAAGATAACAGATCTTGGATTTCGGCATACAATTCATTCATCTATTTGGCTAAATAGCGTTTTTACATTTTAGCCCGATGTTAGTTCGTGATGAAAAACCCTAATCGTCAACTGTATATGTTAATTCTAATTCCTAACACTGCTTTATAATGCTCATTTAGTCTTAGTTAGTAGTTGGTTATATTAACGTCCACTTCAGCTTCGCTCAAAGGTGGTCCATAAATTATAGTCACAATTGATCGATCACTTGGTGGTGATCAATGTCATGTGTGTCAAGTTCTTATTTAATGCAGATCGAATGCTATCGACCATGTTGCAATGTGGACACCAGTCTAGGTGACTCGACATTGCGGGCACTATATATTAAGATTAGATGGTGGTTGGAGGTATTCGGCAGGAAACCCTGAACGCGGGTTTCGTGCTACTTGGCACTCGTCAGTAAGGTGTATCTGTAATGTTGAGGGAACTGGTGCTCCCTGGCGTATTCGATCCCGTGTCGCCCAGCTTCACGTTCCAGGGTCCAGGGTTTCCTGTCTACTACCACCGACCACCATCTAATAAATTATAGTCTCACCTAATTCATAATGTGATAATTATCTTATGATAATTGAACCACACAGATTATATTAAAAAGAAGAATATATTTGTAAAATCTCAGCGAATTAATTTTAAGTAAATCCAACGTTTCACCTGGCAATCTGGTCCAAACTTTTTCAAGGAAAATATAATCAAACAATAAAATTATCGGCGCCCAAATATTATGAAACTATTCGTTCAAATTTAGACGAAAGTTCTTATTTCACACAGATAATAGTCTGTTTTTTTTCATTAAAATGATTGACAAATGATATCACTCTTATGAAAGCTTTCACAATCTAGACTGTTATATAATCGTGTAATCGATAAGTATTTATCTAAACTTGTTAAACGCTCACCATTTAAAACTATGAGATTTTCTTTTTTGTTCATTGAAATGAATCAAGGAGCTTATTCATCCATCGCACTATTAACATCAAAATCTTCAACTTAAAATAATAATTAATAGACTAGTGTACAAATTTTATTTTCTGAATTTAGTTTTTACAAATAAGTAGTATATTCATGAGAAATAATAATAAAAAAATTACATTTATATCTTCAAAATAAACAAACAAATAAGTATGTACATATGTATAATGCATATCACAGATTGTCTTGTCTCTACTTTTTTCTTATATCTTAATCTTTCCTGGTTGTTTGATTTCCCTGTAATATTTGTTATTTTATATGTAATGTCAGTAGTATTGATAGTAACATGAGTTTAGGTAGTAGTAGTAGTAGTAGTAGTAGTAGTAGTAGTAGTAGTAGTAGTAGTAGTAGTAGTAGTAGTAGTAATAGTAGTAGTATTGGAATTATTTATGGAGGTATATTATTATTTGTACCATGGATGAGAATGACCATTTCTCAAATGCACTTATTTCATTCAATGAATTTAGAAAAAGGAAAGTTTTCATTCAAGGCATGAAAATATACAAATAAACAGGAAAACTTAAATACAAATAGAATTTCTGAAAAGAAATACAAAACATGTACAAAACAGAAAAGATATAATAATTTGATCCTGTTTTCTTCTCTAAATTATCATTAGAATTTTTTGACCTGTAATGTAGTGAAACTCCTGGGTTAATTCATATTAGACGATTCCGAAAATGATCATGCTGCTGCTGCTGATGATGATGATGATGGTGGTGATGGTGATGATAGCACTGAGACTTTTGGTTGATTATGCAATGGTAGAGTTAAATTTAATTCTTTCAATAATTTTGCCGTTTGTTCTCGTACATAATTAATCGGATCGTTATGATTATTGACTGGTATACCGTCTAATAATAATTTTTTAATTTGTTCATTTAATTTTTCAGCATCGTGAAGCTGTAAAACAAAAAAAGATCGATATTTTTTTTTAAAAAAGAGTTCAAGGCGAGACTCTAATTTATGGACGAGTCAATCAGAGGCGTCTTAGAGATTTCAAGGTTACGGCACCAACTTCAGTGCTTAATGCTAACGTACGAACGGTTCACGGGGAATTTTGTACAAAATGTGATAATTGAGCGGCTATAACAAATAAAACGGCGATACTATAATTTGTGGACGAATCAATCAGGTATAAGATAACAGATCTCGGATTTTGACGCGAAAGCCTTTCATCCATTTGGCTAAATAAATTTCTGGCATTATAGCTGATGTCAGTTCGTGATGAAAACCCCATATATACTTCCTAAGGCAGATTACGACAATTATTGCGAAATGGATAATAAAAGCACCAGTAACACTGGCTGCAGCCAGGTACTACAATATGTAAGGATGTTTGGAGAGCGAACGGACTCCTACATGGGCTTGGTTCTGTGCATCTTGTCGTTATCCACAAGTAGCATGTTGTGCACTCATCAACCGGTGTGCACATAAACAATATTGAAGCTATGTGGTCGAGGCTGAAAGAGTATTTGAAACTTCATCATGACTCCAGAGGCCGACTGTTTTGTAGCCGTATGGATGATTTTCTCTACTGCATGCATTAAGATTTTAGGACCTCTGAACCTCTTTCTAACCTTGAAAAGTTTTTGAACCACGTATAAGAAGTGTATCCATTTATTTCATTGGTTTTGTATAACATATTTTTACCCTATACTGACTGTTTGCTGATTGGCTAATATTTCTCAAGGTCGCTTAAGATTCGTTCAAAGGTCGCCCATAAATTAGAGTCTCTCCGAGTTCAAGTATGAAAGAACAATAGTTAGTGTCTTTTTTTCAAGAAATATGTTTTATACTACTTGATAATAATGGATTTTATTAAACAATAACAAAAATTCAAATTAAGGTTAAGTAAACAAATGTGTTGGAAATTATATTGTAACTCATTCCGTCATGTTATTACTTATAGAGAGTTTAAATTATCCCGTTGTTGATACTCAGTACAGAGTTTTACTTAGCCATCATTGATAAATGTAGATCCTGTGGAGGATTACCTCAATATAGCGCATTCTTGATTTCACTGCTAGTCATAATTAATCTGTTGATCCAGTCGTGAATGGCTTAGGTTTTACTATAATAAATCTTGTGTAATAACAAATTTTTAGCATTATATTATCTGAATCAACTTATGCTGTATTGAACAAGATCCAGTCAATACTAAGATCTGGATTAAACTTTAATAATGAGCTTACAACATGATAGTAGTTCAGAATAGATATTGATAACATACACTGATAATATGATACAGTAGTCCAATAAGCAATATCTAGAATTTAAAAACGTATTCATTGTAAAACTATTTTTTCTCAAGCATCTTCTTGATGGAGTAAATTGATGAACAGATTATTGTTTAATATGCCAATGAAACGTCTGGTGCAAATGACATCTTCTTACATAATGTGTTCTGTTCTTTGAAATTCTTCATAGTTTGCATCACGGACTAACATGGTTTAGATAATGACTGGAAACTAAGAGGCACTGGACAGATGCTTCATCCTAGAATGAGACTCTTCAGAAGTGCACACCAACGATTCTACCACGATTGAACCTAAAACCTTCAGGTGATCTGACTAGCGCCTAACAATTTGACCATTAACATGTTTCTGGTATGATATTTTCATTTGCATTGATAAGCATCAAGATGATAATCATCAGGTTGTTGGACATTAATGTTTTATCTGTTCTATGTTAGTAACATTAAAATAGACATTCAAAAAGCGTATAAACAGTATAACTAATTAACCGAATTATTAGCTCTTACCTGAGCAATAAATATACATGAACTTAAGCATGGATAAACTTCAAAACAAACCATATCACGACGCAGGTAACGTTCATAACAATGACGATGTTCTAAACAACTATATCCTTTAATACGACCACATTTATGTATTTCATAAAAGGCCCATCGTTTAGTTCTATGACGAATTATGCTCCCATCTGCAAGAATTGTTGGATGTAAGTTTACAATATGTAACTGTAGTTTGACAGACAACAACAAACCTAAATTATGTAAGAAAAAAACAGTTCAGGACATTAATTTTTAAAACTGTTAATTTTAACTGCAAGTAAAGCTTGACTTTAACACGTATACGATGATTGAATATAAGTTGTGGATCCAGAAGGTCATCAGTTTGTGGGTAAATATCGATTTTCATATATCTTTCTGTGATAATTCTTACTGTGAATTATGAAATATATACGAAGTGTATAAAATGATTCTTCTTGTAAACTCTGGGTTTCATTTTAGTCTTCAACCTCTTACGCCAAATAGATAATTCAACTAGCGGATTCCAAATAAATCATCAGTCAAGTTCAATTTATCATCACATGATTATGATCTCACTTACAGTAAAACTAGTACTTTGTTGTCATCACAAGTGTTTATCATTTGGTGTAGGCTGATTATTTTAATGAATATGAATCAACAATTTGTAAACTCAAATCGTTAATGAGCTCCGAAATGTTACTGGAACATTGCAATCCCACGTTGTTAACCATTGTAGCGGCCGATACTTCAAGTTGTGGTGTTGACGCATTCACGTTACCTTCATTAAAGAATAGAAAAGGAAAAGCCACTGTTCATACTTCCCTAACAATAACGCCGATAGCGAAAAAATATAGTCAAATAGGAAAGGAAATCTTAGCATCTGTGTTCGCCTTCTGTTGCTTTCACAAGTTTTCGTATGGCTGGAAATTCACACTTTAAATAGAGTAAAGGCTTCTTCTTACAGTATTTGGTTCAAAATACGAATTGCCGGCGCACAGAGATTGCCACTGGTTTCAATTTGATATAATTTCGAACTGAAGAATCCTAAAAACCCGATCCACTGACTTATCTAGTAACAGCAGCTAGAGGATCGGTAATCATCTTATTAGGTACAAAAGATTGTACACTAAGTCTCTGGTACACAGTCGTTTGAGCCTTTCCAGTATAAACTGCAGACATCCAAACCATCACCTGATGTTACAGAAAATGATTACTTGTAGAAACGTGGTATCAATGAAAACCCTAGCATTCAAAATCGGAGCTTCTCTGTTCGTCTGAGATTATATACCAAACTACGATGAGTGAATGCCATTATGATTTAGGCTGGAATTTTGTTACAGTAAATTATTCAGTGTAAACACTATCTATGGAATTTCAAGACCTTTTTATAATGATTTGTATGAATGAAACATACTCAGTTTAAATTTTTAAGACATTTTTTTGTTCGTATATATTTGATAAACTTAATGTATTTTGTTTAGTTTCATACTGAGTCAACACCATAAATCTTCATCAAATAAAATTGGTGTTTTTGCCTAAATTAATAAAATAGGAAAAATAAGGATGGAAGTGGATTTTTTCACAATATTGAAGTAGGAGTTGAGAGTTATTAGCGTTTTGAACGAATGAATAGATGATAATAAAATTAGGAGGTTGAAATTATTTCTCAATATGGAATAAATAATCTCAAAATTTAGGTTTGGGAATGCCAGATGTCTGTTTACTGCTAGTAAATTTATTTGTTTATTTGAACACATAAATATTTTCAGAATGAGTTTTGTGGAGATTTTAGTAAATTTCACAGGTTGTAATCATGAGTCGGGGGCGGGTTCGTGGATGCGCACTGCTGAGGAATCCCATACTAGGACGAAACGGCCGTCCAGTGCTTCCAGGTTTTCAATGGTGGTCTAGCTTCAACTGACTCATGATTTCAACCTGTGAAACATAAATATTTGTACAAAGGAGTACCGAATACATATGGGTCACACAAGTCACTTGATTTGTGTGTGGAATGTGATACTGCCCGGGTGCTCAGACCAAAGCAGTAAATTAACACCTCAAGGATGATCATTTATAACTTCATAAAGGAATCGGACCAAAGAATTTAAGTTGAGTATCATTAGAATTAATGGATTTAGACTGTGAATGATTACAAATTAAAAATGTCGACTATTTCCAAAGCTGACTAATATCTTAATAGTTCTGATAAAACAGTTCTGTCTTCGTCCTCATGTAAGTTCACATATATCTGACCGGATGGTCATCTAATATCTCCTGGTTTCATTTTGTTGGTTTCTTAATTTACGCCACTTTCTACTATTAACTAATTTGAAATTGAACATTATTTATAAATTCTTTATCATTCGTTAAAAATGAACTAAGGCATCAGCAACTTTTAAGATTCATTAATAAATAACTAAATATAACTTTTGTTATAAACAATACTTATTATTTATGTTTTGTACTGTCTTTATAAGAATAAAACTCAACCAGTGAAATATACTGGCTAAACCCAGTTAATTAATTCATTACAGTACTGGGTATGAGTCCCAGAGTGAAAATCAACTCTGAGATGTAGGTACATCCAGCTGACGAGTCTCAATTAGATCGAAACGCTCGTCCTGGATTCCACTGCTAGACACTTTGCTAATAACAACTAATTAATTAGTTAAATAATTGATTGATTAATGTTCCTCGTAATTGAGAAAACAAAAAATCAACGAATAACTAAATACCTTTTTAAAGTTATTGACGATATTTTCGGAACGTTTATTATATATATATTAATAGTACAACACACATTCAAATAGCCACACAGAAAACAAACATTAATTCATGCTTGCTGACACTATATGGCTTTGTCACTACAAAACAAACAAACAAATAAATGATATCAGTTCGAATATCTCGGTCGGTTGGTGAGAGGAATATAATAGAAATATAAATTCACTTGGTATCCATCTTTCCTTAAAAGAAATATAGCTACTATTACTAGTAATTAATTAATTGTGAGTAGTGTCATTCTTTATTAAAGTTAAATTAAGTTCCCTTAAGTTTTTCTACGTTTAAAATATAGAATAATAATTTTAATTACAAGTGAATGTAATAAATCAATTCGATTAAACTAATTCACAGAGTTAGCCATTTTATATTTCATTACGAACCAAGTTTCATGAAGCAACTTCATTTATGACGTCATATAGTTTTACAAATATATAACTTTCACTAAAAATGAATAAGAAAGAAAATATTATGTAGTTCAACTTGTAATTAGTAGTATGTTTGAAGGTAACACTTCACTATGAACGACGTCGAAAGTTATAAAGAACTGAATAATTATTTTATATCTATTCATTTCTTCTAAACTAAATGTAAACAAACGATGTTAAATTGGGATTGAATTCGGTATTTTTAAACCTCTTCAGAATTACAATCTCTAATCATAGATTCTCAGGCTAATAGTTCACACATTCAACTTTAAACAATTTAAGATATGGCACAATCCTTATCCAATTTCATCAGTGTATTATTACCTCGTTTTTCATTTGACTAATATTACAATTCATAGTTATTTACATGAACATTGAGAAATCTTTCGTGACTCTACTGAGTAACGAACAAATTATTATTTTATTAAAATTATAGAACCAATTATCATCATGTGTTTTATTGGGTTTTGGTTTGGTTACCTTTGACGAAATAAAAAAAGAATTTATGAACCATTAAGAATAATTTTTTTTATTTATTTTATCCTATGTCCAATCATTTATACAATAATAAATATGGATTATCAAGGAGTTGTGGATGAACAAAGGAAACATCTGTTTTGGCGTTCATTATTTCATTAAATTAATCACTCTACTAATTTTTTCATGATTAAGTCTATAAATTGAATAATTAAAATGAATAATAACTAGGTAAATAGGAGTTATTTTTAAACAATAAAAGATTGGACATTTGGAATGATGCTAGAACGTGATTAATTAACTTTTAAAATATAAATATTATTGTATCTTATGTATTAACTAAAAATAGTAGTCATTTTTCGTACTGTGACAAATTATTTGTAACAATAATGATGATAATTCTATATAAAATGCAATCATCTCCCTTTGATTGAGATCGATGTTAGACCGTCAAGGAAAACTTGGAAGCACTGGATGAACGTTTCGTCCTAGTATGAGACTTCTTAGCTGTGCATCGATTGGTTCATGATCTCAATTACACAAATTTGTTAAATTTTGGTGAGTAATTAAGTTTGCGTTTCCGTTGAGGTCATGGTTTCTGATGTTTACAGACGACTGAGATTTTTCAACTCTGATTGGGAACTAATGGGAACTTGATACTGTGACTACTGACATACACAACAATTATGTCTAAATGATGTAACCCAAGGAGATAACACAAGTTCATAAAAAGCTTGATATTAAATGACTGACATGACCCTAGAAATAAAACGTTAATTCATGAGATAAAAGCGGCAAAAACAGCAAAGTTTAGGGGAAAATGGATTAGAAATGATGTATAAATATATATATATGCCTAACTCTACCTATATGATCATTTAAATTACACTGAAAATAGTATGCATAGAATGTGAATAACTGCATGGTCGTACTGATTACACTAAACAGGCTGCTTATTCATGACATTTCAGAACATAATAAATGATCGAAAGGAATGAAAGTACATCGATCTTGTCTAGAAAGTATGAGATGAGAAAGTAATAGTAGAACAAATTTGTGTTAATAAATTAGCTATTAACGACCACAGTTCAGCTAATTGTATTCGATCCCGTCTATTCGAATCGTTTCAGTTCGTCTATGTATACGGTGTTTCATGTGTTGATCTTTCTTTTTAAAAACTAGAACTTTTCCGAACGTTTTTCAATCTATCAAATTGGATAATGTGTCCTGTTCCAACTGAATGTAATGTTATCACTGATCTATTTTCAAGTACTTGTAAACATCATTAAGCCGAATGTAATTAAATTTACAATCATTTTAACCATTCTATTATTTGTGTTTTCTCATACTCACATTGAATCATCATGATTTCTCACTTAGATCTTAAACTTTATTTTTCACCTGACACGTCGACCTACACTCATGTTACTTATCTATAATTAAACAAGCAATTTCTTCACTGCTGCTCATACCTCTATTAAGAAAAAATAAAAAACACCCATCATCAACCTACTACTAATTTTAGTATTTACTTATTATTGGCACAAAATAATAAACTGACTTCTATCATTGTTTTATTTATTAACATATTCACACTTGTTTACCTTAATTAACTTGAAGCTTTTGCCCGCCTACACATTGAATATTTAATGATAATAGATTTAAATAAAATTTTATGATTGTTTTTATTCATTGATTCATTCATTTGTTGTTTTTATTGTGTTATTTTTGGTGTAAATGATGAATATCATTTGTTTTCTAAGAAAAAGATGTGTATCAAAGAGATTTATGACTATTGTATTATTTATTTATTTATTTATTTAGTTAGTTAGTTAGTTCTATTTAGTGCTTACGTCATATAACAATAACAATCATATAATAATTAAGGTATATTTCATCGCCCGAACAAACATTTATGTAAATACTTGCGAGTGCATACACAAATGAGCACTGCAATCTAACATATGATTAGATTTTTTTTAGTGATTTAAACAACTAACAAATTTTTCTATTGTTGTGAAATAAAATACAGGGATAAGGGTGGTTCTAACAATCTTAGTAGTTACTTAAAATATGAAAGTAAATAATTGCTGAATTTTACTGAAATCTAGAACTGATTAAATTTAGACCATTATTAAAACCTGGAAGCACTGGACGGCTGTTTCAATCGTAGTATGGGACTCCTCACTAGTGCGCATCCATGATCCCACACGTAGGACTCAAACGAAGGACCTTTGGTCTCATGCGCGAGTCTTTAATCTTTAGACCATTAAGCCGGCATCTGACAGTGTTAGTGCCTAACTTCAATCAATCTAAGATGCTGTGCAGTCATCTTCCATTGTTTCCGGTGGGTAATTGTCTCATACCCGACATGATTTAATTTCACCAGTCACGGCTTTTTATTAGGATCCTGGAAATTTCCTCTTGAAGCTAGTCATCAGTGAGCGCGTGACAATTGTCAGCATGAGGTTGTGGAGATTGTTGAATTTCATTGAAATTATGAACCGATATAAGTTAGACCACTATTGAAAACCTGGAAGCACTGAACGGTTGTTTTCTTTTCTTTTCAATTTTTAATAATAAATCTATTTGATCAAAACTTTGTCTAAGATAGTCATTTTCGAAATGTGAGTTATTCTCATGGCTTGTTCATTGTGTAGTCAATAATTTTGATGCTTCATTTTGTACGCATCATATATATATATATATATATATCAAGACATATTTAAGTAATATTTGCATAATGAGTATATTGAAGAAATCAGTATTTTAGCAAGAAATCATTATCCAAAAGTACATGATTTTCTCTCCAATCTGATTTCGTTTTCAAATGAACTATCTATTAGTAAATAATTAGTACAGATTTAAAAAATATTGAACCTTTGAAGAATGTTTATGTCTTCTCGTTGTTGACATTCAGGACCCCAAATGTACATTCTGTGTAGATTGTCTGTTTATTAATAACATTTAGTGAGACGTTTTATCATGTCGAAGAAACTAGACAAAAACTTGATTATTTTCATTCAAACGATAAAATAAAACGATTTTAAATAATAATTCAGAAATGTTTTTTTATAGAATTATTCTTCATCTACTTTAATTACATTTGAATTTAGTTAAGCTATTGTCAATTCGATATTTAATTTACACGATTTTTTGACCTTTTCTATTGTGATAGCAGTACGTTAAGTAATGAATGTATGAAATCGAACTAAGAAGTTAAGTACAACTTCAAATGAAACTAGAAGAACAAAATGAATTCGTTTACAAACTAATAATAATAATGATAATAATTACTCAATTTAACAGAACTGCTTATATTAACTTGTATACAGCTACTATATAGGTAATATCTAATTTTATAATGATAAGCTATTTAAGTGAATTATCTTTGCTACTAACGAATTAAAGAGTGTAAGAACGATTACACGAATAATATTCTCTAACTATTATGTTACTATTTGCATGACTGAATAATAATAAAGTATTTTTAGTTATATATTCAAGTACAAAGTAGTTTGGAATAATCAACAGAGAATTATGAACATAGGTTTCATGGTTGTTGACACTGGTTAGTTATCAGTGTAATCTTTATAATTTTAAGGGGATTGATATTTTTTGGATGATTCGAACCTCGGTCAGACAGCTTCAGTCTAACCTCCTTAGGTCCACCTAACATCTAAAAACAGTATGTGTGATATCAAGTGACCTAGTCTAATGGTTACACAACAAAGTGATTAAAAGAACTTGATTACTACTAAACGATTAGATAAACGTGTTACCAATCACTACTCACTGACCTGTCAATTATCTATATTTAAATATTGTGATATATTCCATCCCTGTAGATTGAAATAATTAAACATTTATCTGAGTTTTATAAGCAAAGATGATTAGTGGCTGGCAGTGGAATCCAAGACGCGCGTTCCGTGTTGTTTGAGACACGTCAGCTGTATGTACCTACATCTCAGAGTTGATGTTCACTCTGAGACTTGAATCCACAACCATTCGCTTCAAATACCATCGCGTTATTCACTTAGCTACTGAGTCCAGTTAACCAATTGCTTGGTCGGTGCTGTGAGAATGTGGCCTTCTGAACTCAGTAGCTAAGTGGATAACGCGATGGCATTTGAAGCGAACGGTACTGGGTTCAAGTCTCAGAGTGAACATCAACTCCTACATACAGGTACATCCAGCTGACGAGTCCCAAATAGCACGAAATGTGCGTCCTGGATTCCACTGCTAGCCACTAATCATCTTTGCTTATAAAGCTTGTGACTTAAGGCAATATTGAGACAATTCTCACAGTATGCACATATGCCAACAAGAGACTGATCAATTGCAGTCCTAAAGAACAATAAGAAGATACAAGTAAAACAACACCAAGTGAGCTAATCTGATTATTTACATATGAATATATTTGTCTGCTCATTGTTCTTTATAAGAGAATACCATTATTTTAATTATTAATATTCATTTGAAGAATAACAAAATTTATTGAATAAAAGAATTTATCATATTTCCTTTATTAGTAACTAGCTGAGTTTGTGCATTTACTTTTTTTTAATGAACAAATTCGGTCTGCTAACATTATTTTAATCACGGTAACAATTAATTTTTATCTAGATTCATTATTACCATATATACATAATGACATTCAACCAATTTCCCAGGTGAATTAAATGGGTTTTAATTTATGAAGAATAGATTACTAACTAAACTACTGCCATACATGTCTCCTTCTAATATTCAACTATCAAGTGTAAATGTTAAATTCATTCATCGTTATTTTCAATACTTATTAAAATGAAACCATTACATTACTAAATATGAAATTGATTTCATCACAGATCAATTTCCCTATTCATAATATATAACTGAAAATCAATTCCCTTGAGTATGGAACACAGGTATATAAACAGTTACTCTGCATATGGTCAGGACAATTAAATATATGAAACATGTTGAGTTTATTGATGCATTACTAAATATATAAAATTCATCTTAAATGTGTACATTTTTCATATATTTATAAACAGTCAATTTATATCATTGCTAAGACTTTAAGCTGTGTATAAATATATTTCATAGATTACTATCGCTAACGACTAGCTTAAAGATGGCTTTCTGAGAGTTCTAGTAAGAAGCTGTGACCAGTGAAGTTCAATCCCTGTTCGGTGTGAGATAGTTATCCACCTCAGACAACAGATGAAAGGTTGTGCAAGATTATGGATTGGTTAAAGCTAAACATTAATACTGTTGGGTGTCGGTTTAGTGATATAAAGGTTAAGTGTTCGTGCACGAGACTGAACGTTCTAAGTTTAGGTCCCAAGTGTGGGATCATGGATGCGCACCAGTGATGAGTCCTGTACCAGGATGAAACAGCAATCCAGTGCTTTCAGGTTTTCACTGATGATTTAGCTTAGATCAACTCATGAATTCAATTATTAAAACTCCTTAGACTACAAATCACCATGTACCTGTCAGCATCCATCTTCTGGTACACTTTTGATAAGGTTTAAAAGTGTGAATACTATTTGTTTTTCAAAAACAGAATTCTTTGAAAAGAAAAAAAATGAATAATACACTCAAATGTTTATTTTTTTTATAAAAAAAAAAGAGAAACAACAGAGAACACTTGAAGCTACAAACATTTGTTCATAACTTACAGTAAAGTAGAAATTTGATTAGCATTTTCTTTAAATATCGTTTTCTGGTTGTTAATTCCAAGGATGTAAATGAAAAACTTTTTTTCCCTTTTAGGGTAACGGGCTTTAATCGATATGAATTTTCAGTTCTATTTATTTATTTATTTATTTATTTGTTTATTTATTTATTTCCTTTTTATACTCAAATGATAGTGAGAGATTTCTTGTGAATTGTGCAGAATTAAACGCCCACTTGTTTATTTTTAAATAGAATGACCAATCAGATTAATCGGTTCAATGTACAATGAAAGATGAAGAAATGCCAAAATAAAGTAAATATTATGTGCATATATCTACAATTGTGATCATGATTTAATTTGAAAAAAAAGTAGTATAATTTAGTATTAATTTTATTTAATTTTTGTTGGTAGATTATTTTATTTATTTTGATTATGTCATCATAAGTTGCGTGGGTGATACTCAATAAATGACAAAAAAAGGATGATTAACTGTAAACATTGGAAAGACATCAATTATGTGTAAATGTTGAGTCAACTAGCACAACTAAATGAAAACAGTTAAGTTGTTGATCGTTTTTGGTGGTTAAAGGAAAGAAGGTAAAACGCTAACATAGTGATTGAATGACCTTTTTATATAGAATCATTTGGACTGATATCATGCATAGAGCAATATTAGACCACCATTGAAAACGTGGAAGTAATGGAAGGCCATTTCGTTCTAGTATGGGACTGATCAGCAGTGTGTATCAATTCATGATCTATTTATGATATCAATCTAAACTCAACAATCTCCACAACCCTATACTGATAATTATCATGTGCTCACTAGTGACTGGCTTGAAGATGGATTTCCTAGAGTTCTAATGAGAAGCCGTGACCGGTGATGTTCAACCGTCTCTGTTGTGGAGCATTAACTCCCTGAAGACGGGCGCACAATATCATGGATTGGTTGAAGTTAAACTTTAAACCGTTGGGTGCCGGCACAGTGATATACAAGTTAAGCGTTGGTGAGCAAGACTGAAGGTCCTGCGTTTGAGTCCTAAGTGAGGGATCATGGATGTGCACTAGTGAGGAGTCCCATACTAGGACGAAATGGTCGTCATTAGTGTAGTACAATGCTCCCAGATTTTCAATGGTGGTCTAAAATTGGTCTATTCATGATATCAATATTAATGCAACAATCTCCACAACCCTATACACACAGAATTATTTGTTTGATGGCTAACTGTATAACCCAGCATGTGCTTTTTATCTTAGTAATAACTTATCATTTATATTTGCCCGTGTATCAAATTGTTCTTCATACTGATATAATTAGCTGCTTGTTCCAATTTAGGTTGAGACGAATATCTTTCATTTTATTATTATTCATTATTTAAAAAGTTTGCGAATTTGTAGCTGTAAATAGTATCTAAGCACCAGTTGCGAGAGCTCAGATTTAATAGAGATCGATCAGGTTTAGTCAACAATACTAATAACTTGAAGTCACTAACTTTTGGATTAACATTTATTTTTACATGGTTTCATTCATTCAGCAACAACCACTACTTAGTTTCACAGAAGAACTTTCAGTCTTCAAACGTTTATACTTTATGTTAGCGTAAAACAGTTTTTACTACATTATAATTAATTAACAGCTAGTTATGGTAAATCTAGTTATATAAGCGATAATACCTGAATACTTAGTTGTATCGTGCGTCTACACCTCTGTTTATTTAAAATTAGTGTGGAGTTCAATAAAACCTTTTAATGGATTAAATTTAATGATGAAATGGTCAAAGTAGACTTTACTGGTAAACTTCAATGACATTTTAAATGACTTTATGAAAGTAGTGGTAATTTTTAGTCCATCAGAATAGACGTGAAATGTATGAATACATTATAAGGCAAAAGCACTAAAAACGTTACTGTTTGAATGACGAGCTTTAGTTGAGATTCAGAGTTAAGAGTTTGATTTAGGATTAGGATTTAGGCATCCAATCGAGTTATAGTTAAGATTTTGATTGAAGATTAGCTTTAAGAGTGTTGTTTAGAAGTGAAGGTAGTAAGTAATGTGGAAAAGAGGTTTGTATGCAAACGGATGAGCACACATGTCACTAACATTTTTTTTCTCTTAACTGCCAAACACTTTTAAGCTCCCTACAAAACTTCATAAATCATGTAACCTCATGTTTTATCAATTCAATGTTATTATAACTGAATATTTTTAGATTTTTCACATTTCTGACTTAGTTCTCAATGTAATTTAAGCTATCCTTCATAGCAGTGTGTATTTTTCACAAAAATCCAAGAATCATTAAAATAAATCTCATTAGTACTTCAAAAACAGTACACTTTCAACGAAGGAACTATATAATTAATTTTGAGATGATAGAGATTTTCATTGAATTGGTGCTTTTTTCTTGATCTACAAACAGGTTAGATGCTGTCGGGAATACACTAAACAGAGTAACTCTTTGTGAAATAACTTATATTCCTGATATACCAAGTATAAAGTAATGCATTTCGAATAAAATATCATAGAATATGGCTTTATTGTAAAACATTTCTGTAACATTAAAGAGGAAAAATATACTTATAAAAGCTTGGATCAGATCGCCAGGTGAAAAGGTTGAATTTTACAAATACATTTTTCCTCTTTAATGTCTCACATTAACTCGGCGCCCAAATACTGTGAAACTATTCGATCAAATTTAGATGAAAGGTCTTATAAATTTCTGCAACAGTTAGAAATGTAATTTACATTTACCATCCAATTGATGTTTGTCATAAAGTTGAGATCATCACTTTCTTTATTGTGAATCATTAAAATTTACTTTTTTTAGGTGGATGATTTAAAGATTCAATTTTGGTTTTATCACAAAGTTAAATATAGTAAACAGTTAAATATCTTTTAAATACCGACAAGAGAGGTTATTAACAAATTTAAAATCTATGCAGTCAGTAACCAGATTTACAAAACTAACATTGTCAAAAATCGGAATAGAACAATGAAGAAGTAAAAGAAACGAACTTTACTCTGAGATATTTAAAATTATCATTGTTATTGGTTAACTAAATATAGAAACTGTCAGCTTATACTTGAAATTTGGTTTAGTTTCAAGTCAGAGAAGTTAAGCACGTAAATGAAACTGAGTTATGTTAATGAATTGATAAATCTACCATGATATGATGTAACTAGTTCAGTTAGTCAGAGTGCATATTTTTATGATATGATCTATCTCACCTTACACTTTTCTGGAGCCTAATTCACGCAATAGGGAAGGTGTAGTAGTAAATAAAACTTACATCAAGTGATGAAGAACATGAAGTTATATTAAATTTGAGCTAAGCTTTAATTCTTTGCTTCTACATAGCCGTATCTGGCCAGACAAAAATATTATGACATACTATATATTTTGTATCCATTTTAGAATAAATCCAGTTTGATTATTTGAAATAAAAACTAGATTTGTGAAAATAACAAACAGTTTCAAGCATGCATGGAAGTGATAAAACAAACCAAGTTAATTTTCAAAAAAATATCACTGATCATTACATTATTAAAATTTATGAATAGTATTTTAGTTTCGTTTGATACGTAATTCGAGAGATCAACTAGATCAATTAGAAAACTTCATGGCAAAAAGCCTCTAATATATATAGTAGACTTTATTAAGATTTATTCATTTAAAGTAGTAGTTATTTATATTAACCTGCAGGTCTTGAAGTGAGTGCACCACTTATAAACGAATGCATTATTCAGAAATTCGAAAAAGTGTTATTAGTTATAGTGAAACATTTGAAAAAGCCGAAACTTTAAGTATTGCTCTATATAAGATAATTATTGTATTGTCCTGAGTGTAAGCTTTCATTGAATCTACTAACAGTTTATAAATCTTCTACTATTCAAATAACTAAGCATCCAGTACTCATTTCCAGTAACAAACATTATTTTATTAATGGTGTCCGGTAAATTCAGAAAATTTCTAATGAGAAACATAGTTTCATTGTTATTAAATGAAATAAACACCGCATATTATGTTACTTCCAATAGAACCAACGAATTAATTACTTCATAGAGAAATTAAAGAATTCAAATTTATATTAGTCGGAACATTGACTTTCAAGTCTTGCTCTACGTATCTATGATCCTATATAAAAATATTATCTATATTAAACATTGTAGATAGTTTTCTGTTCCAGTATTAAACTCAGGATACTAATCAAAGTGGTAAGTATTTCTTTATCATTATTAACACTACCTTTATTACATTACAGGACTATTTTTTTAAAAATAAAAAAACATTCATTCTTTTAGTACATTCGGATCATTTTCAATTCTTTCAAATGTATAATCACATTTTTTAACTGACTGATATTAATCTATACTACTTGTAATTACTACTAATTTATATTCAATTATTTCTTATTAAGAAATCAGCTAATGCTTAGTTCTATGATCTTTTGATAATCAATCATCTCGAACTCAGTGTATTTCTTTACAACAACAACTTTCGTTTTTTTTCTTTGATTCCATTAATTTTGTTTAAATCTTCATTTGAAACAATAATGCATTTTCATGTTTATTATTATTATTATTGGCTTTATTCAATATTATATTTTTGGTAAAATATAGAATTCTCAGCACAGGGTATTTCAACAAGTTTCTTACAAACAAAAAAAACAGAAACAAAGACAAAAAATGTTTTAAAACAATCTGAAAGACTGTACAACTTTTCAAATTAGAGACATGTTAAGAATGCAGGTTATTGACTAGATTAACTCTAACAACCTGTTCGTCAAAGAGTATGTTTGCTAGGTAAGGTATTATAGAACTTTTATACTTTTGCTTGAGTGCTTGGATTTTAATGTAATTACGTCTCGTTCTACCAGAAGATATACAAGGAGAAAGATAAGAGTGAAGGGGATGGCTAGTATCTGATAAAATAACACCTGCCAGGAGTTTGCATGATTTTAAATGTCTATCCACAACCATATTAATTATGACCTCGAAAGATTCACCACACATCTTGCTAACTGCCTTCATCACTCTCCGCAATACAGCAGTAAAGTCTTTCCTCAAAAGCCCGGGAAAGAATAATGGAGAACAGTAAAGAATAATAGGTAATATGCAAGAATTGAAAAAT